CCCCCCCCCCCCCCCCCCCCCTCAACTAGATTTTTTTAATGCATTCAGCCTCTCAAATTTAAAATTTTGGTTTCGCTAATGATTATCTACGCACAAAGGTCAAATATACACAAAAAAAAATATATTAGATTTTTTTATAAATAGCATAGGAATAACAAAGCAATGAACTAATGAGACGTTTGATTATTTACAAGAAATATAATTTATATATACGATTGTTTGTTATCTAAGCATAAACAAACTATGAAACAATAGACCTCTTTCAATTCTCATATGGTTGCAATCGAACTTTAGTGTGTTTGTTCAACTGATCCATCAATCTTGAAAAGGTTGAGAATAACATCCATTGAACTATCCTTTTCTATCATTATAAAAGGCAACAAGTATAATAGCATATATATATATAAGACCACAACAAAACCAACATTGAAGTAGTAAAATTCTTTTGAAATTTTAGAAGCCAAAAGAGAATATTAATAGCCACAAGTGCTAGCGTATATAAACACGAATAACCCATCGTTTCTTTAGATGCTATACTCGAAAAAAATAATATTTTGATAAACATTGTTTCACGAGAAATTATATTAATTAAAAAATAATAATTTTTTTTCTCGATGTAGGTGTATGAAAGTAAAAACACTACTGATGATGCAGTAGAAGAGTCAACGCTGAAAATTAAACAAGTTTGATTGATAAATAATTAACTTTGTGTGTTTTCATATTTCTAAGTGGTTTACTTATTTAATTAGTCTAATTTGGAATTACTCATCTTGTTATCATTTAATTAGCTAGTCTAATTTGGAATTACTCATCTTGTCATCAGATATTAGATCATCTTCCATGTATTTTATGAGTCAAAGTCAAATTTATCTATTTTCTATGACAAGAAGTTGAGAATGTCATTCAAAGTTATAATTTTTAATGTCTTGAAGGGATGTTCCAAAACTACTATATATGTCCCCTTTCATTGAATCAATTCAGATGAGTATTTAAATTTAAAAATATCTTGAATGTATCCTGCATGCATCGTGAGTGAGTGATTCCTCTTTACAAGTGAGTGATTAGGTCATGTCGCTGCAATTAGTAGCATCGAGTGATTCCGCAGCCGCTGGTTGACTGATTCCGGATCATTAATCTTTTTCCTATTATCTTTTCAGTTGCGGATCGCAATTCACTCTAGATTGAAAGTTTAATTGTAAATAAATCTTTCGTTCAAAGATTAATTAATCAACAAGATAAATTATCGAACAAGAGACACTTATTAATTAACGGACCACATTACGTAACATTTGCATGCCGCAATCCGTGTTTTCGGACATAATAGATAAGTTCTCGAATAATGACTTAATTAATTGACCGCCGCCCGCGAAATCTGCATGTCGCGTACCGTATTTTTGGTAAGTTAATTTCAAAAAAAAAAAATCTGTCTAAAATATAAACTAATTTTACTTTAATTTGAAAATTTACTTTTAGAAAAAAAGAAATAGAAAAAAAAGAAAAGAAAAGAAAGGTTATATACAATGTACACTAGAAGCAATCAAAATGAAATACTTAAATGAAAATATTTGACTTACGAAAAAGACACATTTCTTTTTGGATTTATATGATGAAAAGATGATGTTAGATCTCTGTTCCTTTCATACCTTTCAACTACAAACCTCCCTAATCTGGCTTTTACCTCTTTATCCCCCAAATTAAATGTAAGGTCGCGTGCATTCGAACCGTAAATTTGACTAAATAACTATTCACTGAGCACACATACAGATCTTCGGTTCAAATTCGCTTCGTATAGATAACCAGACGTAGCATTTAATTTTCGTTTAACTTCGTACTAAAATTTATTACAGATATTGTTCTCAGATCTTTTTCACATTGCAAAATCTTATAGACCACAAAAAGAAAATATATATATAAAAAAAAAAAAAAAAAAGAATTCGTGTGAGAGAAAAAAAAAAAGGGAAAAAAATCATAAGCCTTTCTCTCTCAAGAACAAAACACAGTTGCCTCTTTTCATGGAGACCCCACTTTATAATTTATTTTTGTTTCTTTTTCTAGTGATAAAACCTGCGCTGAAACTCTGTGTTTGATTTCTCTCTCTTCACTTCTGTCTTTGAGAAAACCCTAGTTTTTTTTTCTCTCTCTCTGGGAGATCTTTACTACTGTGTTGTAGTTTTCAGACAAAGTGGTCCAGCTTTTTGGTGAAGAACAGAAGCTTTACTGTAAATCTATCCTTTGTGTATTTGCAGATCGGAGCTTCTTTTAAAGTTTATGGGTAAAAATCTCTGACTAGATTTCTGTGGCAGCAGCTTCTATTTTTTTTTTTTGTAGTAAAAATCTCATTTGCAGACAGGCGTGCACACATCTCTTTCTCTCTCTAGATTTCTCTTTCTCTCTCATCAGTCTTACGTTATTACTTTTGTATATTGACGGATGCTGTTTTGTCTCTCCAGAATTTACTTTCTCGCTCTAGAAATATTTCTAGAGGAGAGAGAGCGAGAGAGGAAGGAAAGAAAGGAATGGATTCTGGCAACAGTGGGAGCCTTCACTCGTCGAGTGGTGGCGATGAGGAGTACGATTCACGCGCCGCCGCGGCGGACTCTGTCTCTGCTTTCATGAGTGGTGGTGGTGGTGGTGGCGGAGCCGTTAATCTGCCGCCGTTTTTCGACCCGGTTTCGAACTATCTTCAGCTCCACCAAAACCCCAATTTTTCGTTTCTGAATCCAAGCCTCGCATGGCCCAGAAATTCCACCGCCGCCGCTCCAAGATCCGACCCGAACCCGAACCCGAACCCGAACCCGAACCCCATCACTCATCACGACGCCACCACCACCACCAACAACAACCCCATGCTTCCAAATTCTCCGCCCTTCATGCCATCTTTCCGTCCTCCGCCGGCGCGGGTCGCCGGCGGAGCCGACCTTGCGCTGCCGCCGCCGCAGCAAAGACAGAACCAGAATCAGAATCAGCCCGCGGCGGCGCGTAACCCGAAGAAAAGATCTCGAGCATCAAGACGGGCGCCGACCACCGTGCTGACGACTGACACCACCAATTTCAGAGCCATGGTTCACGAATTCACCGGAATTCCCGCCCCACCCTTCAACAACAACAACAACTCCTCTTTCCCGAGGAGCAGGTTCGATCTTTTCGGCACCACCACCACCCACCTCGACGCGCCGCCGTACCTCCGCCGTCCCCCAAAAAGTCCCGTTTCTCCCTCCATCTTCTTCCTCCCTGCAGCTAACCTCCGCCGCCGCCGCCGCCGTAGCAGCAGCAGCAGCAGCATCTTCTCCAACTAACAACAACAACAACACCCCCCATAATATAATCACCTCCGTTAATTCTCCAACCGCCATTAATAATGAAGCATCTTCTTCTTCTGCATCCAATACTAATAATAATAATAACTACCAACACTCCCCAAATCTTTTCAACAATATCATTCCAACCCCACTTCTCACTTCTTTCCTCCAATCAAACCCAAACCCAAAATTCCCATTCTCAAATCATCACCACTTAATAAACACAAAAATGGGTGGTTTATTAGACGACCAATTTGGCCATGGCGGCGGCGGCGGCCATGGCGGCGATCATGTAATAATTTCTGCAACTGACGTCATCAATAGTAATAATAATAATGCAGCAATCTGGCACAGTAATAATCCGGATGCAGATAAAGACGACCGGATTAATCTCAACGGCGCCGGATCATACAACTTTCCGGCGGGGCCGGATAACAACGCCGCCGCCGCCGCCGCGGCGTCCAGAGGAGAAGGTATGGTGGAATCATGGATATGTTCGTCAGATTAGAAATCATTACAGTGTAGAAAAAGTATATATCCATGTTGGGGTAATGATGGCGGCTATGATTTCAGACATTGAAATTTGAAACCGGGGTTTTAAAAAAAAGTTAGTGTAATATATATATATATATATTTCATGATCGATATTATATATATATTTAACCATGACTTTCATATACCTAATTATACTGTATTAATTAGGTACTTGATTAATTAATTAATCATGTGTAAATAATTGTGTTGTTTCCTTTATATATATATATATATATATATACTGAAAAACCCTCATAATATTAATTTAGCTGTTACATTTTGATTTTATTTTATTAATTATGTTTTTTGTGTGTTTGTTTTCACATTTGGGGTTTGACTGATCTTATGACGAAACTCGATTTTGTCGACCGAAAAAAATAAAATAAATAAAATAAATAAATCATTTTTTGGGCTTGAATAATTTTGGTCTTCTTCCTTTATTTTTTTTTATATTGAATTCTTTTTTTCTAGAAAGAAAATCGTTGACTATATCAACTCTAATCAAAGTCAACTTTAGCATGATTTTTGGGGGATGATTTTATGTTGATAAATCAAAGCTAGTGTATACTTAAGATTAATATTAGTATTTCTTTATTTATTATTATCAAAGCTTGTGATTTTAATGTACTTATTATTATTAATATATAATATATAATAAGAATATGAACAATAATATTATAAATTCAAAAGTTAAATTTCTCTAATTTTGAGAAAGATTTTATCGATATATAGGATACCTTCATTTGCCTTCATAAATCATAATCATGGATCAAGGATTTTGCGTTGGTGAATGCTAATAGAAAAAATAGAGAAAAATATATGAGAAATAAGATATTAAGGTTGAATGGATTTCACTTGAATTTTGAATTTTTTAACACAATAATTCAATTTCAAAATATTAGTAGAGAAAAAAAATGAAAAAAAAATAATTTATAAATCTTTAATTAGGGTTTCCTATTGTTGGTCCATCGTTTATTACTTTTATGTATAAGATTAATTAGGGTTTTGTGTTGTTGGTCCATCGTTTATTACTTTTATGTATAAAATAAGATGTTTTACGTGAATTTGAAAAAAAAAAGGTGGGATATTAATTACTCGATCAATATTATTATATTAATGTAATAAATAAATAAAAACAAAAATCATTTGCTAATCTTGATTTAACATATATATTGCAATTTTGGGTAAATTTTGATCTTTTCTTTTGAGATGATGTTCTTACGTAAGAATCTTCACAAAAACAAAAGAAAACAAAACTTCGTCCATTACTATTTCTTCACAGCACAATAAATATTTCCAAAAAAAATTGTTTCCAGTAATATGTTTTTATTTTAAATTAAATAAATGTTTCCAAAACATTTGATATACTTTTGCAAGCTACTTTTTGTCTACTTTCTTGCATTACAATTTAACTACTTCATTAATGCTCCTCGTTTTTTTTTTAAATAAGTAAAATAATGCATTAAAAACAGGAAATAAGATAGTTAACAATGGGGTAACAAAGTACTAAACAATTGATAATCTATTACATTTGATAAGTTGTTTTAAGAGTTGATAAGCTGTTATATCTTATTTTTAGAATTAATTTTTAAAGTACTTGGATAATGATCTTATGAGCTATTTTTAGTCTTCATATAATCTTAAGTAAAAAGGTGGTATATGTACTTCTAGAAAAATTATTTGCTCTCCATCAACATATTTTTTGAATTTTTAATTTTTAAAAACAAAATTACCAAACATTATGGAAGAGCTTATAAGTTGTTAAACATATTATAAACTTTTTTTAACAGCTTATAAGTTTAGCCAAACACCGCGTCTTTCAACCCATAGTCATTTAGCAAAGCATGAAAAAAAATTGTCCATATGACAATTTAATTTTGCGGTGAGAAAGTTTTACCATAGAACTAATTAAGCATTAAATATCAACAATCGTGCCAAATTAATATTTATGACGTGAGAATAATTATCTCTTATAATGTAGTAACTTTTATTTCTTTGTTGGGTACATTAAGATTAAGGGCTTGCTAATTGAAACAAACAATAAATCCATCTATGAATAATGATTGTTTTAAGGGTAAATTATAAAAAATCCTCAAACTTATGCTAAATTATTAAAAACACCTTCATCTATCTGCATTTACCAAAATCCTTCCAATATTTGTTTCGTCTTACACTAATCCCTTTATGATGTGATTTTTCACGAAGTTTTTTCTCCTTAAGAGAATATTCCCCCAAAAAATGTCGATTATACCCCTAAAAACAGTCTCATAAATGTAGTTGGATTGCAATATTGCAATATTATTACACTTCCTGGATTGCTAATATTAACTATCATGGCATACATAGGCAAATTTTTTAAACATCGGTGCACAACAACCTTCAATTTGTTCCACGTTGCAGGGGTAGAATCGTCATTTTTCAGGGAATATTCTCTGGTATCAAAAAGATTTCGTGAAACATAACACCATAAGGGGGTTCATGTAAGATGGAAACAAATGTTGGGGGATTTTGACTATCACAACTTGGTTGGGGTGTTTTTCATAATTTAATCTAAGTTCAGAGTGATTTTCACAATTTACCACTATTTTAATTATATTTCTCAATTAAATAGATTGGCCATATGTACAGAAGGAGATATATATATATATATATATATATATATATATATATATATATATATATATATATATATATATATATATTATACAGATAGGGTTGGGTAACTTTATCAATCTACCTAGGAATTATAGATAAGGTTTGGCCAATTACAGCTTAACTACCTTAGTGGGGCTTAGGGGCAATATGGTATATTGGTTACCATTTTAATTAGCCACTTTAATTAGTTAAACAACATAATTGTGGTTGGTTTAGTTTAGAATTTGATCATACTAATTAATTCATATGTTAAATCCTTTAATTTTACCACAATTACCACTTACAACCCATAAAGTTGATGCCTTCACTTTTTATGTGTTCATTATTTTCAGTGCAAGTTGGATTTATTTTCAATCAACTCTCATTACGAATATTCGACTTAATTCGATGGATGTGTACGTTGAACTTCTTGCACGTAGTTATTCACTCCGTTTCATAGTAGTTGTCGTAATGGTATCTGGCACTTGTATTAAGAAAACAATAAGTATGTATTGATTTTAGTTCATATTGGAGGACTAAATTATCGTTCCAACTAATTCTCGTTTTGTTATTAGTTACTCCTCCGTTTGTTAAGGAGTAATAAGTAAAAATACGAAGGGGAAAAAAATTCACAACACGTTATTTTCCACAATACATAACTAACACACACCACGCATTAGTTTCTCTCTTCTCATACGTCATTTCTCTTTGAAATGTTATGCCGTCTTTTTCCATCTAATTTGAGCGTTAGTGTCTGATCTATATAGGACCTAACCTTCAGTGGTGCAGGTGAACAGAGTTCTATTATGATAATCGATGAAGCGTGTTCGATCGAGATCGAGAGTTTTTTGGTCGATCCGAACATATGCGCGATTAAAATATTACTTACATATATTATATATATACACTTTAATTAAATAAATCAAAATTTACAATATGTCACATCCAAATGTTAAATATTAGTAGGATCATGGGCACAAGTTTGTTCATTAATGTGATTTCCAGCATAGCATGGGCCATTTGTTTTCATAAGTATCAATATTGGTTTGTGTGTGTGTGTGTGTGGGATTTTGTATTCCCCGACAATATCTGAGGTTGCGTTGGTATGGCGCAGAACAAACACAAGTGGATCCAACAAATTATTATTATTATTATTATTATTATTATTATTATTATTATTATTATTATTATTATTATTATTATTATTATTATGGAATACATGCATGGATTTTTTTTAATTAAGTAAAATTAGACCATTCACCGAGTGATTAAAATATAGTAGTGCGACTCGATTTGAATAATATAAATCTGAAACCCGAAATAATATATGAGTTGAGTTTGAACTTACAATTATAAAATTCGAAGAGATGTGAATTTGAATTTCTAATAGGCCGGTTCTGTGTAAGGCGGTTTGGACCCACGTTTTTAAGATGGCTGACGCTAGTAACTACGTCACTCAATGAGATCATATACAATTTTGTTTGGTTATGCATTAATTGAGAGGTTTATTGCATTTAACACCCCTATGTTTGTTGTAATTGGCAAAAAAACCCTGGTGTTGTAAATATTAGCAAAATTTCTCCTGTAATCTAGTTTTATTAGCAAACTATCCTTTAAATTACACCGTTTGGAGGGTTGCGTGCTAACAAAATCATTGTAGAGGTTTTGTGTTAATATTTATAAAACGAAGAGTCAATTTTGTGGTCAAAATTGGATTACAGGTTAAAAATAGTGAAATTGGAGTTAAATTTTAAAATCATAATGTGGATTTCAGGATTTGTAAAAGATTAGGGTAATTTTGTTATAAGAAAAATTAGATGTCACTTTTTTAAATTAGATATCCCCTTATTTATTATATAGTACTTTATTTATTATATAGTACTTTCTACATTCATGTTAGGCGATATATTAATAAACCTAGCAAATAATTAGACAAGTCAAACGTTATTCACTACATGAAAAGTATTCTCACTTAAAGAGATCTTTCAATACTATACATCATATATTAGCTTTGACTATATTCATTTTAAATTAATTATTGAGATGGGCGTTTTGGGAATAACTAAAGGAAAATTAAGTTTAAGATAATAAAGAATCTAGATGTTGTACAAGTAGGCTTGAAATCGAAACCTAGTTAAAAGTTCATCTGAGCTCGGTTTGTTAAAACAACGAACTAAGTTTGAAAATAAATTTTTCTTCTGATAAATTATGAAGTTTTGTTTGAATTCAAGCTAAATTAGAAAAATAAATAAATAAAAAATGAGCTCGACTCGTGTTTCGAGCTAGACTTGATTGTTTATCAAACCAGATTTCAATACAACTTTGAAAGTTCGATAAAATTTAAAATAATTTGAACAACCATGTGTTACGTACTACTCGATTTATTTACACCGTGTGTGCGAGCCTTGAACCTAAATGTGGACCACATGAATTAAGCACAACCCAATAAGACACTAGAGATGAATTAGGCTAAGTTCATCTTATGACGTCACAAGATGACGTCCTCATTGCACCCAAACTATGGTTGTTAGTTGCTTCTCTTGTAAGGAATGTATTTGGGTAGTGATTTTATTTTTCCTTTCATAGTAATATATTTTTTTCTTATAATATTTAGGGTAAATTATGGCTCATCCCTGAGATAAGATTAAATTACGAAAAAACTCTTATTGTTTTAGGTAATTACAATCATTCCTTAATTGTGAACTTCTTACAAGTCACCCTTATGGTTCAAATTCGACATAATTTTCTAGATTCTGTGAAATATTCTCTAGTTATTACTCGTTTTGTGCAAAATATGCAGTTTTTGATGTCCTACAATCTGATATTTACAAGCCAAGAAACACATCTTATAATCATCTGGTTTGAAAATGTGGGGCTCGATTGGTGTAAAACGGGTACAAACTTGAGAACATTCTGCATAATCTAGAATATTCCACTAAATTTGACACCTCAAGGATGGACGTGTAAGAAGATTCATAATTGATAGTTGGTTGTAAATACCCAAATATAATCAGGTTTTTCGTAATTTAACATTACCTAAGAGGTGGCTGTAATTTACTCTAATATTTAAGATTCTTGTAATAAAAGGGACATAAGTGTTACTCTAACAACGTTTTGTCTTACAATTATATACATATTGACACAAAAATAAATTATAAATTATTTCTAAAATAAGATATATATTAGGTGCAATAATATAGTTTTTTCAATGCCCTTATATATTTATCTTTGTTTATGAATACTTTTCTGTGTGGAGAAAGAGAATAGTAGCTTGGGGTGGGGGTGGGGGGGTGGTTGGGGTGTAGGGGTCCTCTTTCAAATTTCAGCCTTCCCACATGTTTAGTTTCAAAGACGTGTTGTTCAACATCGTTTATGTGGGGACCCACCCCTAAAAAATTAATATTTATTGAGAAATTAATTTAAAATTCCAGAAGAAATTAAAGTATTTTATTTTTCCAAAATATTTCTCTCTTCGAAATGAAATTTATGGGTCAAACTCCATCAAAACAAAACAAAAATTATGGGTCAAATTATTTGTCATTTTAAAATTCCAATAATACGATAATTGTATTTTCTTCAGGGGCAATTTGATAGACAACCATTTACCGTAATTTCCTTTCAAGTAAGAACAAGCCACATTTTACAACATTAATGATCGGACCAAAATGTCCCTAGCATTGTAAGCTGCAAGCCACCTTTACACCTTCCCTAATCGTGTCGATCAAAAGTACCGACTTACCGCCTATCTCCTCTTCCTTCTCTCTCTTCCCTAATTCCTCTCTCTTCTCTCACAACGTAGATGCGTGTGTATAATATGCATGGATAAACCATTAATACTCATGTACGGTCGCATATAACCCGATAAAATTTCATCAAATGTAGCACAGTATAAACCGTTCGTTAATACCTTCTGGTAGTCATCCACATCACCATTGACACATCACAAACTTCCATATCAAAATTATATCCTACTTTTGGAAATCCAATTTTGATGAAAATAAATAAATAAATAAATAAATAAATCAGTTTTTTTTCAATTGCTCTTCTCAACATCCCAAACATGACATAAAAATCCCCATGAAAGTGGGAAACATAATAATAATAACACAATAAATTCATTTTTTATATGTCCAAAATATTCATCTCCTACAAATGAACACTCCGTGTCAAAATCCTATCCATTCAATCAAAAGATAGATAATATCAATTAAGTACAAGTTACTAACTCAGACTGGGTTTTGTAGATGTTACACCCGGCACCGGGCGATCGTGCACAATTGATCTACACATTATAACACACACACACCCACATGTATGTGTGCTTCGTGGGTAGTTATTTGTATAAATCGATGGTGCAAAATTGTCCGGTACTTTACACCAGGTGTAGCATCTCATAGACCGTCGTACTGGGGCATTATTTTTCTACATATACTTGTACATAAGTATACAATTTCTTTAGGCTTACCTCTGTTTTCTCGATACACCGTATATCATTTTCGAGCATGTCGATAAATAATAATGTATCTTATTTTGTCTCTTCACACTGCAGTTAAAACTGCTTGCCTAGTCCAGGGAAAACGAACCGTTACAGTACCTGCAGAATTTTACGATAGTCAAGAAAGGATACAAGTGGAAAATACTTATGTAGACTTGATGCAAAGAATTTTCAAAGCTAATATCAAGGAACAATAAACCCATAAAAACTGGAGTTTTATTTTTCTGCCATGTAATTCTTTTTATTGAATTTTTTCATTTGAAAATACATTAAAATAGCAAATAAACAGGAAAATAACATCAAAATACATTTAAAAAATCACGAAAATTATGCCACATATTTCATGTTGAAAACACAAGAACAATTGATATTCAATTTTATTTTCTGCTTTTTAATTATATTTATTAATACTTTAATTCAAAAAATATAATAAAATAGAAAAAAATATCAAAATACATTTATAAAAAGAGGAAAAATACTCTTAATAATTCTTTTACGAAATAATAGTAAATATTTATAATAAAATGTAGGTTTGTTTTCTGAAACCAGATATACCTGTCACTGAACTTCTCAACAGCATCAGAGGCATAAAGAAGGGTTTCGTTGGCTTTCTCGAGAACCATATAAAGCTCCTTTCCTCTAGTAAGACGAGCAATAAGCCAAGCATTGTTTTTTGCTCTAATGCATAATTCTAGATCCTTCTCACCGCCTTCATTGTCCCATTTGGCTTTACTCTTTTCTTTGTCAATCTCCTCTCGAAGCTTACTCAACGCAACCAATGATTCCTAGAGAATATTCCATCGTGCAAAAAATACTATGATCATGATCAAGTGCAAACTTCCAAGACTAAATTTATTAAAGAAATCCAGAAGAAAAATGAAATTCCACTGTCGGGAAATAAAATTAGTATAATTAGAACATGGTGCAATATACGGAAGCATAATTAAGTAGTTACAAGTTAAAAAGTGGACCAAAATAAAATGTGAATCACTGTCGGGAAAGTTTACGGAAGGAACATGGCTAACCTTTGTTAGAGTCGTAACTTTTCCAGGTGGAGAAGCCCTGGATGTGCACCTATCACCATCCACCAGCAGATATCGATATCCACTCACATGATACGCATTCTCACCACCCCACCCTCTTGCTAGCTTCTCTTCAACTTTGAACATCTTCAATGATGCCTACAATGACGAGAAACACTATTTATTCTCATAGTGTGCCGAAAATTCAATTATTCTTGGAATATCAGCAGAATAAAAGCTCACATGTTCAAGAATTTGCTGCTTCACTGTAGCAACCCCTTGCTCACCATTGACAGATGAGACTGGAATTAGAATTATCACAGTGAGGCCCCGATGTTGATAAGCCAGTAGATACATCTTCTCTTCTGTTTGATGTAGCCAAATTGTTGGGCTTTTAGGCACTAAAGAATTAACTTCTACACCCCAAATATCCGTGACAAGAAACCCATCCTTCCCCTTGGACCACTTGGAATGCTGCAAAGGCCTCGCCAAAGGATGATTGTGATTCCTTAGTGGGGAAGTATCGTGAGAATTATGATATTGATCCCCAACAGAACCATAATTTGCAAGAACAGCTCCAGCAGAAGTATTACATGCAGTGTTTCCTTTACTTGAAGAGGACCACGACCTTGCTCCAGCAGATAGGGCAAGAGGAGTTAACCTTAGAATAGCATAGGTAAATAGGTTGACAGTGTCGATCTGGAAAAAAAAGAAACGGAAAGGATATAACAATATATCCAAAAAAGAAGATAGATGCTTTACATAGAATACAAGAAATCTATCCCCTCAAGCAAAAAAGATGCATCATAAGGGTGAAAATTTGAGCCCGTTTTCTTTTCTTTCTAGAACCACAGATGGGATAAAGAAGATGAGTATGACGATAAGCTAAAAAGATCAAACCATACAGGAGAAAGATTTGTGGAGACCAACAGATCCTGGAACATTGTCAGTGAGAAGCATTGCGTGTTCCCGGCACATGATTCTAACGCTCGAACAAGACACTGCACAGACCAAGTGTAAGGTGACAATTAATAAAAATATGCACTGATTATAGCATAAAACTAGAGAAACATTTAGCATTACTCATGCACATAGACATATTTGACCATCCTTGGTGCCTTATATTATACAGACCAAGTGAAACCCCTCAGCCCAAATGAAATAACAGCACACGGATTCAAAACATTAAGTAGCTAATTTTCACTGACACTAAAAGAGTTGCATTAAACTCCAAATCCTCTTCGATACATGCTTATGTGTAACCTTATGTTTAAATATTGGAGCTCCATGTCAAATAGCAACACTAGATCGGAATCTTCAGAGACCAACAACCTTGGGTATAAGAACAAGGTAAAACTTTTTATCAAATTTTTTTTATCATATACTAATTTTGATGTGTATAACTTATAAAAAAAATTAATATGAAGACCTATATGCGTTATAATATATGTTGTGCATATAAGCGGAGAAACAGTAAACAAATAATACTGTGAATTCACTTATTATTCTTCTCTCACGGGTGAGAAGACACATAATTTGTCAAATTAAACACTACACAATACATTACCTAAGAAACTAACCTGCACTTCAATTGCAGCCTCTCGTCCCACAGTTAACATCTGCAGTGTTCCACGTTCTCTTAGAGAGTCACGAAAGTTTGGCAACTGAAATTTCTTCCCCATAGAAAAATCTGACCCAAAGAGAAAATGCAAGGTGTGAAAATGGCAACTTCAGATTACCCGAATGCAGAAACTGAAATTGGAAGCATTTTGATACAGCAACTGCAGCATTACCCCAGCAGCAAAATTCCAATGTAGATCTCTTTTCAAATGCTGGCAATTATAACTTAAGTTGGACAATAGCAATT